TAAACTACCTGAGCGACCCTTATACCTATACATACAAGTAGATCTGTGCTCGTACAGTTTAAAACAATTTTTACCATCAAAACACAAATATTTTAAATAAATAAACTTCACGGTACTAAACTAAATTAAAATTAAAGTGGCATCGTTAATAAAAGGCTACCCTGTATTTATTAACAGTTTTAGCTATAGAATAAAATCAGATATTAGTAAATACACAAAATTAGCTAGCTAATGCTAATCTAAATAGCTATTGATAATGTTAATTGCAAAATATTGAATTAAGGCAAATTTGAAACATAAATTGTTACTTTACATACCACCAAAAATTAATTTAGTTTTACTAAAAAGTTAAATCAAACTTTAATTTAACAAATACCTACAGTTTAAAAAATATTTGTTTTAAAAAATGTATGAAACAAATACTGTACCAGTATATACTTACATTTCGTTATTAACATTAAAAACTTCCCGTGCAATAACACCCAGGCTATATATATCAGCCGGTAAACCATGGCCACTACCAGCGTAAATTTCCGGTGCAACATATGTACCCGTACCAAAAACTGGATCATGTTTTCTCACATTATCTACATAAGTAGCCAGGCAAAAGTTACCAATTTTTATCATAAACATATCATGCTCGTATGAGTCGAGTAAAAATATATTTGCTGGTGTTAGATCCAGGTGCATAATCGGAGGGATATGGGTGTGTAGATAGTTAACCCCCTCTGATATCTCACTAATAATATAATGTGATAGTAGATAATCTTGGTCATTTATTTCGAACTCAGTGTCCCTGGTAAAATATTTGTGTTTTGATGGTAAAAATTGTTTTAAACTGTACGAGCACAGATCTACTTGTATGTATAGGTATAAGGGTCGCTCAGGTAGTTTATGGTTGTATTCAAGCCAATGGCACCGGTATTGCACGATATGCTCGGGTGAGGCTAACGGTGCCCACAGTTTAATCTCATGTAGTCTTTGAAAATAATCGTCTTTTTCTGTAAAATTTATAAATTAATTAAAAATAATAAAAACTTTTGAAAGATACTTTCAAACCTTTTATGATATACTGTTTGATCGCATAGTCCTTTAATAAAATTTTATGCCGAGCCTTGACTACCGTTCCCCAGTCTCCCTGTGCTATCTGCACAATACTGTCCACTAAAAAATGGTTTTCCAGTCGCTTCTCATCTATGGATAAATCGCTAAACTTATGCACCGTTTGTATCAAAGACTGCGGTTTTTCGTTGAAATTGTATTTCGTTTGCAAAAAGTATTCAATAAACTCGTGGTTTGTATCGTAAGTGCGGTTCACGTCCACGATGTTAGGTATGGCCTCCCGGACCACACGGTATGGTAGA